TTTTTTTTTTTTTTTTTTTTTTTTTTGCGACAGGGTTTCTCCGTAGCTTTGGTTCCTGTCCTGGAACTAGCTCTTGTAGACCAGGCTGGCCTCGAACTCACAGAGATCCGCCTGCCTCTGCCTCCCAAGTGCTGGGATTAAAGGCATGTGCCACCACTGCCTGGCAGGCAAAACACTTTTACACATAAAGTTAACTGGGGGGAGGGACTGGAGAGATGGTGCATCAGTTAAGAGCACTGGTTGTTCTTCCAGGCGACCTGAGTTCAATTCCTAGCACCCATATGGCAGTTTACAATTGCCTGTAACTCCACCTCTAGGGGCCTGGGACACCCTCACACAGACATACATGCAAGCAAAATACCAGTGCACATAAAAAATTAAAAAATTTAAGAAAGTAAACATTTTTGTTTGTGTTTGTTTTTGTTTTTCAGGACAAGATTTCTCTCTGTATATCCGTCCATACTGACACCAGGCTGGCCTTGAACCCAGAGATCCATCTGCCTCTGCCTCCAGAGTGCTGGGATTAAAGGGATGTGCCACCACTGCCTGGCTAAAAATAAATTTTTAAGAATGTTAAAGTTTGGTTCCCCCGGCCCAAAGACTTTTTCCACAACACCGCCCCAGATATGCATCCTCAACTTCATCTCCCTGTTCCATGTGTGTATGTGGAGGTCACAACACAAATTCCAAGAGTCATTTCTCTCCTTCCATTGTAGCTACGGTCTGGGTACGGAATGCAGGCTGTCAGGCTTGGCCATGTTGTCTTGCCAGCCCCTAACTTATTATTTGAAAGTGCAGGGAACACCTGTTGTATTCTTAAATCCACAACACTGAGCGAACAAAAGGCCCACTGTTCTTTGGATCTCATGTCAGGACTGTGACTCAGGAAGAAAGAAGGGTCCCTTCCAGAAGGTGAGCTTCAAGAGAGATGAGAAGTTATTGAAGACTACGTCCAACTCGTCACCTCATGCCCAGATGATTAGCCTTGCTCTACAGAGGGAAGAAACCCTCTGACTAAGATTACTAAGTGACAGCATAGTATGGACTTGTTTTTTTTTTTTTTTTTTTTTTTTAATGAAAGACAGAGCCTCAGCTGGATATAGTGGCACAAACCTTTAATCTCAGCACTCAGGAGATAGAGGCAAATTGATCCCTGTGAGTTCAAGACCAGCCTGGTCTACACTTCAAGTTCTAGGACAGCCAAGGCTACACAGCACCTGTATCAAAGATCCAAAACAAACAAATGACTGAGTGTCGTGCAGCCTAAGCCAGCCTTGAATTTCTGACCCTCCTGTTTCTACCTCCTTAGTTCTAGGATCTTAGGTAATACCACACCAGACTTCTATGGTGATGGGAACTGAATTTAGGGCATTGTGCACTGTTGACAAGCACACTACACAATTATGCCAAGTTCTCAGTCTCTCCAATAAAATCTTCAGGCGGCAGAAGTATGATCCCATCTCTCCCCAGAAAAAAACTCCTTCAGAGACTCCAAGTCTTTAGGATAAAGTCCATACTCTCCTACTCTAATGCCAAATTCCTGCCTGCTTTTCCGTTATTCATTCTCTCTCTCTCTCTCTCTCTCTCTCTCTCTCTCTCTCTCTCTCTCTCTCTCTCTCTCTCTCCCTCTCTCTCTCTGTAGCACTTAGAACTGAACCCAGGATGTGTGTGTGTGTTAGTACTTAGGATTGAACCCAGAATCTCAGGCATGCTAGACAAGTACCCTGCCCTGAGCTATCTCTAGCTCTTTTTGTATCTTTTACTTTTCCACAGTGTTTCCCTAAGTTGGCAGGCTGATGTTGCTCTACCGCCTCGGCCTCTTCAGCAGATGGGATGACAGGCCTGTACCACCAACTTTGCTTTCAATCTCAACATGTTCCTCATCCCCCAACCTACAGTTTTATCAATCTCATTATGGCACCTCAAAAGCACCATCCTGAGTGGGGAAGATGGTTCAGTGGGTAAGAATATTTGTTGTGTTGGGCATGGTGGCACATGCCTTTAATCCCTGCACTCAGGAACAGAAAGCAGGTTGACCTCAAACTTGTGATCCTGGCTTATCATCAAAATCTTCTCTAAAAGATTATATTTGTAATTATGTGTATGCCTGTGTATCTGTGTTCGGGTTTGTGCATAGGAGTGTTGGTAGCCAAAGAGGCCAGAAGAGGACTACGGAATTCAAGGAGGCCTCAAACTTACGATGTTCCTCCTGCTTCTTCCTTTACGTGCTAGGATTATAGGCATGTGCCATCACACCTGGCAAGGCAAAGTGTTGTACTTAATCTGTGAACTACGAACGGCAGGGTCCACCAGGCAGTGGTGGTGCAAACCTTTAATCCCAGCACTTGGGAGGCAGAGGCAAGGGATCTCTGTGAGTTTGAGGCCAGCCTGGTCTACAGAGAGAGTTCCAGGACAGCTAGAGCTGTTACACAGAGAAACCCTGTCTCAAAAAACTAACTCCCCCCCCCCAAAAAAAAGGGTGACAGGGTCCACAGAAACCTACATTTATTCTTCCTTGATCTTATTGAATGTTTGTTGTTTGTGCTGAATCCAATAACACAGGGAATTAGAATTAGAGTTGTATTGTTCCCATTCAAGCTCTGCAACTGGGCATCACTGAGTTTTGGGACAAGTACAGTTTTCTTCAAGTCCCCTCCCCTGTCTTCTTTACCAGAGCATATAAGTTAGAGGAGGCAACAGAAAAGTTAGCCTCCAGATGGTGAGATGGGTCCATGGGTCAGAGTGCAAGCATACACACAGACACACATACACACACACACACACACACACACACACACTGTATTATGTTGGATGCAGTAGTTAGTGCACAGTGAGCCCAGGGCCTTCCATAAGTGAGGCAAGCCATGTACTGAAGAGTGGTCTTGGTCCTGGAGGGGTGAGTACAGGCGACAGCTGAGCCCCAGTGGGTAGCTTTGACTGCTTTCCAAAATCAAACAGAAACGACTGGGCAGTGTCTGCAGTTTGGGAATCTATTTACTTTTCTGGGCCTGCCACTAATGCAAGAGGAGCTGGCTATATTTAGCTCTG